CTCCAGTTCCAGGGGATCCAACAGTCTCTTCTGTCCTCTGCAGGCACTGCACGACATGGGTGCACTCACCTACATGTAGGCAAAACACACGCATACACATAAAATAAAAATAATAAATAAAACATTAAAAAATATTTTAAGAAAAAGAATACAGAGTTTTGGGGGCTGGAGAGACGGCTCAGTGGTTAAGAACACTGGTTGTTCTTGCAGAAGACCCCGGTTCAAATCCCAGCACCCATATGGCAGTTAACAACTGTCCGTAACTCCAGTTCCAGGGGATCTGACGGCCTCATCTGTCTTCACAGGCATTGCATGACACGGGTGCACTTACCTACATACAGGCAATACACTCATACACATAACGTAAAATTAATAAATAAAAATAGAAAAAGAATACAGAGTTTTCCCACCATAACAAGAGAAAGGCAGAAATACACAAGCCTCTCTAATAGTCTAGTCCCTGACATATTCTCCCAGTCTATTATGACACTGTCCTATGATTTATACTTATTATCTCTTTTTTAAAGATGAGAAAACCAAGAAGAAAGGTTATATAACATAACCTCAAGTATATGTAGCTAATAAAATGGCACAGCAGCCAGAAATGGAACACATTCAGCACTTGTATGCAATGACCAGAGTTCAGAAGAGGGTGTTGGATCCTCTGGAACTGGAGTTACAGATGGTTGTTAGACACCATATGGGTGCTGGATACTGAACCCAGGCCCTCTGGAAGAGCAGCCAGTGCTCTTAACCACCAAGCCATCTCTCCACCCCCAGAATCTGAACACTTTTGATTCTAAAAATATTTGTCCATTATTATTACATTATACTTCCTTTCCACAAGAGAAAAAAATTCTGAATACAGTGCTCTAATAAAACTTAAAAAACTGGACTGGACACTTATTAGCAAAATCTTTATGAGGGCTTACTAGAAAGCTGTCAGACTTGAGAATTACACAGTTGATTTTGAATCTTGGCTTTAATTCTTTATGCAATCCTGGAAAATGAAGTTACTCTTGGAGCCTTCATTTCCTCAACTGTTAAAAAAAAATACAAGATTAAGCACCCAGAATCTTGCTCTGTCTTACCAGGGAGCTCAGTAAGAGGCAACATTACTACTGTGATTCTGCTTCTTTCCATCTTCCAGGTTTCTCTTATTTACAGTTCTCTAACATGCATTCCCTTCCTAGAGCACTTACTTTGCTTTCAGCATCTGCCAAAAGAAATTGCTGACCACTTCAAAGACCTCTGAGGCTAACAAAAGCAAACCTCAAGTAGATTCTGTTTCCTTCAAATCAGGCAATCCTGATTCTCAAAGTCTCTTAGTTTAAGTCTAGTTTCTGTTTATTAGCCACGGAGGCTAATTTTAACTCTAGAGCAAAGCCTAAACACTAAGAGAATCTCATGACTTAAACCATTATTACATTAATACACACTTGGCAAAGAGAAAAAATCTTACTGTGACTAGTAATAATCAGATATCTAGAGACTAGAAACGCATGTGCAAATATCTTAGTGTCAATTGCATTAAAAATGAATTTTTTCTGTATGAAACTGCGTATTTTAATAATGAAATGGAGATCTTTTTTAAAGGTTAAAACCTCATTTAATTTTATGTCTTATAGGGTTTATACTAAGTAAAATATTGTGTAACTGTATTAATTCAACCGTAAACC